TTCCAACGTACATATTGCTAGCAAATAATTTTAAATGGCGGATAAGTTTTCACTTTGAAATTATCACATGATCGTAAGCATTAAACGATAATTTATGGATGCTATTTATATCCCTGCCAGTAATTTGTATTAATTAAAATATCCAAAACTAGATCTCAAGATTAGAATCGTAAATAACCTCAAAATAAGCATCATGATGAAAAGCATCTGTGAAGTTTTAGAGTCCAGTATTGAAAAACAAAATAGCTAATTAGCCGACACAGAAAGAGAACGGAACTAACATGTGAATTTAGCACAATTTATTTAAATCTCATCTTTTGTGACTTTCTCGAATGATAAAAATTAGTAATACATTTAAACATCAATCATCAACATAACATTTACACTTGAATGTCGATGATTTATTTGCCTTAATACAAACTTTTGGGGGACACTGAAATAAGAAGAACAAAAAAAAGTTAAAAATTACTTACTTTGCATTCGGTTGTTGATCATCAGGTGATTTTGATGTTGTTCCGGTTTCTAATACTTCCACCAAATCGCCTACGCGTACTGAAATGGAATCGGGGCCCACGGCATCGTAGTCTTTGTTTACAATCAGAATATCATACATCTGTGTGGATAGATATGAAGCATTAAGCATGGAAATCAAAAAAAATTTACAAATCAGAGCATCAGAAAAGAAGTAGAATTTTATGAGTGTGAAAAACTTTTTTGTTCCTGCATACGTAAATCTTTGAACAGAGACTGTATATAGTTCATTAGTCATCCGATTCTTGTCTTATTCCTCATTCATCTCGTATTTTCTGAGAAATATTAATTATTATTTCTAAGACCTCATCGTACGTATCACTTTGTCAATTTTCGTGACATTTTCTTTAACAAGCAAGGCTTTAGATTCATGTGAAAGCTTCTGCCACATGAATGTCATGTCAAAAATGATTTTTTGGCCTTTTTTTTCTTGTTCGGATTTATGAATTCATTAAGAACCTAATTTCTTTAATTATTGCACATTTAAGTAATACCTCGCCCGATCATCATGTCATATTTATTTTTTAATGTCATCAAAGGTGTCGTTCATAAATTTTGTCTAACCTTTGGCGAGGCTGTATGATCTTTACCAGGTTCTTTTTTTGGCTTTGCTGTTCTGTCAATCTTTTAACGGAGCACCTAGGATTTCCTCACGGAATACTAAAGTTCCGTGAAGAATAGTTTGGGAAACACTAATCTATACATCAGGATGCAACTTTAGTAACAAAGGGGTTCAATTTTTTGACATCATTTATGAACAACCCCCAAAATATATCATGAAGCTTCTTACTTAATTTTGTGTCACTTGAGTACTTAATTGAGCTTGACTGACTTAATGAATTATTAGGAGGAAGATTGCAGTCTTAAGTGCTCGTATAATGCAGCTTTGGCATACATTTCAATAAGCATTGGCACTGTAAGCACGAGACGCACTCAAATGGACATCATTAAGTAAATTATATGACGTTAATATAAAATTTCACGAGCAATTGAGAACTGTATCTTCTTTTGCGAGAATTGCTTAATAAAAAACAGAAGTATACGACATTTTTATATTTTAAGGATATGATCAACATTTGTGATATTTGTTGTTTTGGGTTTTGAGTTTTTACAGCACGTGTTGTTAATAATCTGAATGATTTATGTCATGGATAGTTTACGTCTTGATGAGATTCTACGCATCATCTTTTTGTGGATGTTTCTTTGAGGTTTTTATAATTTATTTGTGGATTATTCAAAAAATCATTGCGAAGGGAAAGGGATTTTTATTTTGAAATAATTATTTTTTGAGTCCATTTTTGAATTTTTAAAAATAAGGAACAAATTTCAAGAATATTGACTGAATTTCAGTCTTCTATACAAAATAAAATCAAATTAAAATCTTAAAAAGATTTTTAATTGAAAATTGAAAGTTCGAATCTCAATTTAAACATTTGCAAATGTACTTCCATAATTTGTTTGGGTCATATTAATTATTTTGCTTTTAATGACTGATTTTTCAACTTTTTTGTAATCACATCTCTCAATGCCCAATGAAACTCAGTTATCAAGGGATCTTTTAATGAGAAATTTTTCACTTGTTCTTTTTCGAATCATATGTACTGGAAATGAGGCTCACAGCCTTCCCTTGTAGGCTACAGGCAGAAATGTCATCAAAAGGGTGGTTTGGATCCCACTTTAAATTATAGGTCTAGGTTTGAGTGCAGTGGTTTGGCGCATCCTCACTCGTTAAACTCTCATTAGCTACGAAACGCTCTAGTGCACCTCTTGATCACAATTGATCTGAATAGGTAAAGGTTTTTTGTAAGGGATCTTTTTTGACGAAATTAATGCAAAATAAAATTGAAATCAATCGCAAAAAAAAACCTTTCAGCACAGGCGTAATATTTACTTTTTCACACTTTGTGTATTCATGTCATGTTTCTCTTTTATTCAGTTATTGTTGTTTTTGCATTAAATGCTCACGTCAAAAAATTAAAAAAAGAAATCACAAAATTAAGTGAACAATCAGTAGGTGGCAAAAAAATGAGAAGAAAGACGGACACAGACTTTCCTAGCCGAGGAAGAAATCCTCATTTCAGTGACGTTGTATTGTCAATAAATCAGCAAGAGTTGTGACAGATCTTTGTTGATGATACCGCATCTACGTGATATTCCCTATTATCAATCCAATTGTGAATTGAGAGTGAACACACAACAAGAAACTGAGTGAGAATCTTAATGTCAACAAAGTAATAAGGCTTATTAAAAAAGATCTTTAAAACGTGCCGTAAAGATAAAAAAGAAAGAAAGAGTTTATGTTTGATCAAGACCTCGAAAAGTCGAGGGTGTTTGGTTGTGTAGAACAAAATATTTTAATGGAGATTTTGCCGCTTCAGAAATAAAAATATCAAATTCTCTTCTTACACATTTTCCTTTATAGAAGAGACAGGTTCAGGCAATAATTTTTGTATTTTAAGTGCAAAACACTTGTGTGTGATGAAAATATCGCGAAATTTGATTTTTTTTCTTCATTTCATTGAAACACGATCATCACGTACGCATGGACGTTGATCATCAGGTATAGAATGAATTTATTTTCATTCTTCTTTGCCAAAAAAACATTTTGCTGTTTATGATAATAAAAATGAAAATTCATTAACGATTTATGTCATTTTCTACACTCTTTCTGGGTGTCATTTACCGCATGTGTAAATAACAAAATTTTAGTGCTTGTTCCTTAGCGCAAAAAAAATATGAAATATGGTCAATGTTATTCGCAAATAATAATAATCTTGAACATCAATGAGTCAATCTGTCCAAACTTATTACATAACTCATAAATTTCAATGGACATAAAAGTGGAACAGAAATGCGTGGGAAGCTTTCATTTTGCAGCCATTCATTTGAAATAGGTGAAATTAAAAATTCGACAAGTCGACATCAATTGCTAATGAAATTTGATGAAATAAATGAGTCTTTTGAGACAAGTTGGGTGGATGAAAGTCTTTCGAGGAACAAAGCTATTAAATGGATACAATTTGTAGCGCTATAAACGAAATGATTTGCTTTCTTATGACCAGAAGTTTTAAATTATATTTTATTTAAAATACTCAGAAGTACAAGATACAATTTCATAAAAGAACCAGAGTTGTTTTGTGGTTCATTGTGAGAATCCATCTAAAAAGTGGGTCAAAAGTCATGTTGCTAGACAGTGTCTGGTTGGAAACATATCTTTGGCTAGCTTTTGTTTACTTTACTATTGTTTAGATTCTTTTAATTGCCAAAATCTTTTTTTTATGGATTTCATAGTTTAGTGATATACGTCATGCAGTGAATAATGATAATTTATGTATAAGGAAATGTAGACAAATGATTTGATGAATTTTTAAGCAATGAAAAGTTACAAGCTTTGATTTTTAAGTTGGATGACAGCTTTAGAACGATTTAGATTTCATGTTGGAAACATTCATTCCGAGTGGAAATTTTGAAGAATTTCTGAAAACTTTTATAACGATTAAGAAGGATTCACTTTAAACTTTGATAAACATATAGTTTCTTTCAAACTAAATTGGTTGTTAAAACACTTTAAATTCAAAAAATTGTCAATTTAGAGTTGAAATATTTTAATTTTGTCTAAAAATTCACTTTGTTATTCGTCATCCACAACAAACCTAGAATTTTTCTAAGGATAATAATTTGTAGAAAGAAGTCTTATATCCAGAATTTTTGTAAGAGTTTGCAAAAATCTTTTTCAAAAAACCTTAGCAAATTCAAGAGAATTTCTCGTTGAAATTTTTTTTAAAACAAAATATGGACCAATTGACACTTAAACTTTTTTGTCTAGAACAATAGAATTAATTTATCTGGATGTAATGAATGTCAACGCCTTGATTCAGAATGCGCTACTGATGATGATCCTAAACAAAAATAAGCCAATTTTTGATGAATATTTGAAATTATTTTGAAAAATCTACAAAAATCACAAAACTAGTCAATTTAAGAAATCAACAAAAATATTTTAAAATTCTTTGGTTCGCTGCCTGAAACCTTAAAAAATATAAGCAAACAAATATATCAAAACTTTGTACATGCTTAAGTTTTGATTTAAATAAATAAAAGTTTAATTTATAAAAATTAAGATTCTGTTCAAATTAAAAAGTTTACAATTAAGTTCAAAACCTACAAAACCGAGTGAATTAAATTTAAAATAAACCAAAATTCATTGCAAAAATTATCAACGAATAAATTAAAGTAAATTTTGAAAGTTAAATGCCTTAATAGCCAAATTAAATGACTGTTTTGCAAAAGAAAAATTAAACATTCTAATAATACTTTTACTACTATATTATTCTGACGCAAATTTTCTTATTTAAAGAAACTTTATGATATAAAAACAAATTAAGCATTTTTGGTTGTAGGATTTTTCTAAAATTGAACTTTCTTAAATGAAACTTTATACTTTGTTTTATTTAAAACTTGTTGAGTCCAAACATTTCCACACAGGATATTTCAGTGTCTGATAAAAATAATATTTTTCACACTTTTTTCATTAATAAATTAATTGAAATAAAAAATAAAGTAAGATAATCTGAGAGGATTTCAACGTGAGCAGCTAAATTAATTTGATGAAATTGTTTACATTATTGCTATCGCATAAATCATACAAAATTAATTATCCCAAGCTAATTTCGTTTATTATTTTTATCTTCAAATCTGATCATGTAATGACTTGTTACATCCGCGGTGTTGGCTCGCTCATAAACATTGTGAATCTCGTTTTGTTTAAATTAATTTACGATTTTTTTTTGCATTCTAAAAATACGGAAAGATCACAGAGAAACGATTTCAATGTCAATTTCGATTCTGGAAACAGCTGTCAAGGTAATATTTTTACTTTACAGATCGCATTTCAGTTTTGTTTTGTTTGAAATAAAAATCGCCTATTTTTAAGCACTGACATCAATTTTATGCACAAATTTTTAATTTGACATTAAATGTCGCTTAATTTTTTGATTGTCAAGAATAAAAAGTTTGACTACCCAAATATTTTTTTTTTATTTCTTTGTGACTACATTTCAGCTATTTATATGGTGATTTTGTTTGAAAATCATTCACGATATAAACTTATGAATGTTTCATTCCAATGTCTCAACAATAATTTATGGCTACTCGTAATGACTTTTATTTGCTCGTCTACAGAAATTCTCAAAATTAGTTAACATTTTCATTAATTGAAAGTTTTGAGGTAGTTGAGCGTCAAAATCAATCATCATCAAATAGGAAGCGACGAAAATGACATCAAAAGTTTGCTTCACGCTCTTGTGGTGACTTTTTGTTCGTCATTTGATTAATGTTGTAAGATGTCCAAATAAAATTGTTTGTGAAAGCGATATTAGCTTTGATGATCGATCTTTGCGGCGCATGTTCGTGTCAATTGGATAAAGTTTCATCATTAATTATTCCTGATTTTCTGACTCTTTTATACGCCATTAAAAAAAGGGTTAGCGAGTGTCAGGAGCGACATGAACACAAAATTTAAATGATTTATTGCGAATTACGCCATTTTTGCCAAAAGTAATCAATAATCGAGATGTGAAATGGGAAATTTTCTTACTAACATGCACACTAGAGAGGTTGGAGAACCAGGAAATTTATTTTTTTAAATATATAAAAATTAATTTAAAATGAAATGAGTAATTTCGCTAAAACCACACGCGATTATTTCTTATTCTCAATAAAAAATAAAATTTTCAAATAAAAATCACTCGTGATGTAAATCAATACATGAAAAATTAACAATGAAAATCATTCTGTGGCAGCTGTTCCTCTTTTCTCATGAACTCTACAGTTTTTATGTTGTTTTCGTCTTTGTAGGGATTTTGAAATTTTCTATTTTCGGGGAATTTGCTGTACAAGTCACTTTTATTAATTTCTTGACCTCTTTTCTGTGCAATTTGTTGTCCCGTGACAATCCATGACGGCTCTCTTGAGAAACTTTATGTTGATATCAAACGAGTAGCTTTAAAAGTAAATTTTTATAGGGCTTTTACATTTTGTCGTAATAAAAAAAACTATTTTGACTTTTAAGATCCCAAAATTCTAAAGGGAATCGTAAAACTCTTTCAAAACGGATAATGTTACACAATATGGCAAAGCTTCAAGTTTCTTGTTATCCATAATTCAATGTGATTTTTTTATTGGCTGATTCTCATGTCAAAAATAAAGACACACTTAAGCTCTATAGACTTTTGTTTTATCCTATCTAAAATAACAAGATGATCAAACATTTGTAAAATAATGCGGACGTGCGACAAAGCACTTACTTAATTTTATCCTTTTTTTGTATAAATTAATTTTAAATTCAAATGGAAGAAGTCTATTAATACATGAATTTAAAATTGTTATGCACCCTCAAGTACCACAAAATTTACAAACTTTGAATCAGGTTATAGCCACGTGATTGTGTAAAATAAACCAAATTTTAATTTGCCAAACCACATGAGCAGTTTGAGATTTTTCGGGTTAATAGAAAATAAAACTTGAAATGTTTTTCATTCGATAAAAAAAAATTGTTTAAACATTGTGGATTGCTGTATTGCTAATTAATTTAAAACTCTCGGCGATAATCGATATTAATAGAAGTTTTTTGAACCAGTTTTTTCAGGTCAAGTGATAAATCCTTTTAAAGAGTGATGGCTGGTAATAGTGTAATGTTATGTGAATAATGGAGTACTATCTAGGTTATCAAGTCTTATAAAGGCTTATTTATTAATGAGCTTGGTAAACTTCATTGGCAAAATGGTTGAGCAACAGGTTAGAAATCAGTAATCATCTCTTTGAAGACATGGGTTCGATTCTTAACCGATGTCGATCTTTATAAAGATTGTTGTTGATTTGATTAGTAAGACATAATGCTCAAGACGCTCCTGAGAGTCTTTGATATATTCGAATCTATTCAAATAGAATCTCCTCAAATCAAGGACCTGGTCACTTTTCTTGAAACAGATAACATCAAGAAAAATAAGAAACGCTTAGATTTTCGATTATACCTTTGAATTTTTATAGAAAGAAGAGTCTTAGTAGATTCAAGGGTGTGGTACTGATGAAATGATCAAAAATGATCAAAAAATTTATCAAAAATTGATCAAAAATTATCAAAATGTAATTCTTCAGTGCCACACCCTTGAGTAGAGTTTGTCAGTTTATTTGTTGGACTTTAGAACCACAAAAGAGACCAATTTTAACTCATAGAAATTCAAAACTTTTGTAAAATTAAAATCCATTTGACATGAATATAGAAGGTCATCCAAAAATTACCCCAAGTCAATTAACCCATCAATCAATCTCAAAAAGCTGATGTAATGAAGTAAAATTGAGTAAGATCAGTTTGACCTTCGCTCTTTCTTTAACCCAAATGTTTAAAGACTCAATAGTCAACAAAAATACATCAAGAATCAATTTGCAGAAGAGAAAATAGATTTTAAATGATGTTCAACTTACGACCCTGAGTGTCTAAAGAGAACACATTATAGCCTATTAAATAAGCAATAATACAAATTATTGATATAGCCGATTTCCGAAACGTTTGAGTTTCAGACTATCCGGAAATCAAATTTCATTCACCCATATTTTTCGATCAGATGTGTGCAAAAACAGATCATTATAGGCGAAATAAGAGCACACGCAGAAGAACCAGATTTTTATGTTTATTTTATTTCATATCTGCACATTGTAAAATTACCACTAAGAAGCTTAAAATAAATTAATTTCCATTAAAAATGTTGATTTCAGATAATTTTCTTTGAAAATATACAAAAAAGAAATTCAATGCAATGAACTAATTTCTACAAATAGAAGATTTTACTTAATATCAACAATACGATACATTTTATACATGATACATTTTTATGTTTTCCTATCCTTCACAACAAGGAATGGATGTATTTAAATTAAAAAGCACAAACAGATGTCAAGTTTTATTAGTTTTTCTCTTTTCTTATAGCTTAAATTTTTATTTTTAGAGTAAACAAAAAAAAGTTTTTCAATTTTTATGAACTGACGCATGTGATGCAATGGATTAAAAAGAGTATTCAAATTTATCTTGCAGCTGTTGCACTTTTTTCCTTCTTACCATGTAAGACGTATGCATGCATAATGTATATATTATCGTTAACTTGTGTGTATTGTCTGTATACCTGTGTAGTAATTGGAGCTTTTGAGACACGATCCGGTCGTGCTCCTCTTCTTTTACTGAGCATAAGTGTCGTTTGGAAGTCAAGATTTGATGTTGGATCTTCTTTGTCGTTGAGTCGTCGTCTGCGTGGTCGTCTATAGCCGGTGTCTGGATCTACTTCATAATTCTTATTTTTAACGAAAAATTCATTGTATTCAGCACCATGCTCACTATTATCATCATTCTCGCTTGAAGGTAAATCCGTTCCGTCAGCGAAATCACATGCTGAGAATTGAAAGTCTCGTGTTTGGACGTCATATGATGGTGTCGTGCTGCCTTGTCTGAGTTTTGAAAGTTCATTTAATGTTTCATCATTTGCATAAATTGAGAATCTGTGATGTTGGCTTGGTGTGTTAAGTTTCAATGCATTCATAACGTGAAGTGGTTCAAAATGTTTGATGCCATTTTCATCGAGAACTGTATATGCACATTTACCTGTTAACACATCATGGCTTTTCTCACGTGGAACAACACATTGAACACCATCCTTAATAATCAAAAATGCTTTACTTCCTGATCCATTTCTGAGTAGGTAGTCTTCCATAGCTAATACATTTTCCTCATTCATTAATGCTGCTGGGATGTCATTTGATGATTGAATATCATGCTTCTCAACTACTGGAATTGATATGAGACCACTTTTACGTACAAGTTCTCTTACAATTTCATCTTTGACAGCACGATGTGGAGATGATGTAAGTAATTCGAGAGCATCTTGGTAATCAGGATCGACCTCAGCAAGTTGCTTCATAATACACATTCTTTGAATTACAGCCTTTGCTGCATCATCAAGCTTAATTTGTGTCACATCACCAGTTGCAAGAGTTTTGTCTAATGCACTTAATAATGTCATAGCTTCCTTAGACATTCCTAATGCTTTTGCAAGGATCAGTGACTCATTAAGAAGAGACTCGATTTGTGTAATTTCTTGTGTCTGAATAAAGTCATCAAGTTGATGATTACTTTCTTGCTTTACAGCTTTGACAATTGCGTTTTGGATTAAATCTTTCATCGATACATTTTCCTTAGTTATATCATTGTTATTTGTAATTGAATTGAGGACATCCATAAGTAATTGTGGATTTTTCTTTGTCATAGCACTAAAGGCACTCGCCACATCAAGATCATCAACAAAATCACAAAATTGTTCGACAATAAAATCGTTATTTTTGTCATTGACTATAATATTTGGCATTCCTGATTTTGCTGGTGTTTTTCCGAATTTGACTTTACGGCCTGTTCTTACAATGCCATCACCATCCTCACCATTTGCACTCATGAACATCTTTTTTAAGTCATCAAATTTGCAAAGTTTTTCCTTCTTTTCCTCGGTTGTATTAAGTTTTTTAGCTGGTTGGATATTCTTAATTCCATCTTCATCAATCAATGTATATTCACACTTGCCAGATAGAACATCATGAGTTTTATCACGTGGAAATACAAGCTGTACACCATTCTTGATGATCAAAACAGGCTTTCTTCCTTTGCCCTTTTTAAGTAAATAATCTTCCATAGCCATAGCGTTGTCCTCAGTCATTAAGTCAATTGGAATATCCTTTAATGATTGAATCTCTTCCTTTTTGGAATCTTCAGTAACTGGAGTGGAAATGAGACCACTTTTGCGGACTAATTCTCTTAAAACTTCGTCTTTGACAGCCTTTTGTGGATTTTTCACAAGTTCTTCAAGTGCTTCTTCATAATCAGGATTAGCTTCTGCAAGCTGCTTCATAACACACATTCGTTCAATGACTTCTTTAGCTGCATCATCTAATTTGAATTGTGTCATGTCGCCAGTTTTGATTGCCTTGTCCAATGCAGCCATTATTGTTTTAGCTTCCTTAGACATACCTAGTGCTTTTGCGAGAGTCACAGATTCAGTAAGAAGACTTTTGATTTCAGTCACTTCCTTAGCTTTAATAAGTTTATCAAGTTTTTGGCTATTTTCTTGCTTAACAGCTTCTACAATTGCATTTTGGATTATATCCTTCATTGACACATCCTTCATATTAACATCCTTGTTATTTGTAATTGAATTGAGAACATCCATAAGAAGCTGTGGATTAGTTTCAGCCATTGTACTGAAAGCAATTGCCATATCAGGGTCGTCAACGTAGCCACAGAATTGTTGAACCAGCTTTTGTTTTTCCTGTTTTGCTTTAATTTGAGCAGCTCCTTGAGGTTCGTCTTTCTTTCCAAATTTCTTTTTGGTGCCCTTACCACCAACAACAGCCTTTTCCTCTTCCTCAACAGTCATAAACATTTTCTTTAAATCATTAAATTTGCAGAGAGTTTTGGTGTTTTCATCCTTTGCTGCTACTTTTTTTGGTGGCTCAAAATGCTTGATTCCATTTTCATCAATTAAAGTATATTCACATTTACCAGATAGAACATCTTGAGTCTTATCACGTGGAAAGACTAATGAAACACCATTTTTAATGATTAAGACAGGCTTTCTGCCTTTACCTTTCTTGAGTAAATAATCTTCCATTGCCAATGCATTCTCATCATTCATCAAATCAACTGGAATATCCTTTAATGATTGAATCTCGTCTTCCTGATCATCTTTTGCAACTGGAATTGAAACGAGACCACTTTTGCGGACCAATTTCCTTACAACTTCATTTTTGACAGCCTTATCTGGATTTTTGGTTAATACTTCTAGAGCTTCTTGATACTCAGGGTCTGCCTCAGCAAGCTGTTTCATGACACACATTCTTTGAATTACTTCCTTTGCTGCATTATCAAGTTTAATCTGTGCCATGTCACCAGTTTTGATGGCTTTGTCTAATGCATCCATAATAGTCGTTGCTTCTGTTGACATACCAAGTGCTTTAGCAAGTGTTATAGACTCGGTAAGAAGGTTTTTGATTTGAGTGACTTCTTTAGCTTTAATGAGGTTATCAAGTTTGTGGCTATTCTCCTGAGACACAGCTTCAATGATGGCATTTTGAATTATGTCTTTAATTGTCACTTCATCCATTTCTTTATCCTTGTTGTTTGCGATTGAATCGAGAACTATCATGAGCAATTGTGGATTCGTTTCGGCTATAGCACTGAAAGCACTGGCCATGTCAGGATCATCTACATAGCCACAGAATTGCTGGACTAATTTTTGTTTTTCCTTCTTTGCTTTAACTTGAGCAGCTGCTGAAGTTGGTTCGTCTTTCTTTCCAAACTTCTTCTTTAAGCCCTTCCCTCCAACATCAGCCTTTTCTTCAGCTTCAACAGCCATAAACATTTTCTTCAAATCACCCAATTTTCCAAGAGTTTGAGTTTTTTCTTCTTTTTGGGCTAATTTTTTAGATGGATCGTATTGCTTGATTCCTTTTTCATCAATAATTGTGTACTCACATTTACCAGACAAAACATCCTGAGTCTTATCTCGTGGAAAGACCAACGAAACACCATTTTTGATTATCATGACAGGCTTTCTGCCTTTACCTTTTTTGAGTAAATAATCTTCCATAGCCAATGAATTTTCCTCTTTCATTAATTCCTCAGGAATATCCTTCAATGACTGAATCTCATCAATCTTAGTGTCTTCAGCCACTGGAATCGACATAAGTCCACTTTTACGGACCAGCTTTCTTACAACATTGTTCTTTACTGCCTTCTCTGGAGTTTTTGTCAACACATTGAGAGCTTCTTGATACTCTAGATCTGTTTCTGCAAGCTGCTTCATAACGCACATTCGTTCAATGACTTCTTTAGCAGCATCATCCAATTTGAATTGTGTCATGTCACCACTTTTGATAGCTTTATCTAATGCAGCCATAATAGTCGTTGCTTCCTTAGACATTCCAAGTGCCTTAGCAAGAGTCACAGATTCATTTAAAAGGTTCTTAATTTGAGTGACCTCTTTAGCTTTAATGAGGTTGTCAAGTTTGTGGCTACTTTCTTGCTTTACAGCCTCAATGATTGCATTTTGTACCAAATCTTTCATTGATACTTCTTCAATATTTACATTCTGCTTATTTGTAATTGAATTGAGAACATCCATGAGCAACTGTGGATTAGTTTTACTCATAGATGTGAAAGCACTGGCCATGTCGGGATCGTCCACATAATCACAAAATTGTTCGACTAGCTTTAATTTCTCTTCTTTGGCTTTTGCTTGAGCAGCTTCTTCTTTCTTTCCAAACTTCTTTTTAGTGCCTTTAACGCCCACATCTGCCTGTTCTTCTGCGTCAACAGTCATAAACATTTTTTTCAAGTCATTAAATTTGCAGAGTATTTCCACCTTTTCTTCAGTTTTGGCTATTTTCTTAGCTGGTTCGATATGCTGAATTCCATTTTCATTAATGAGTGTATATTCACATTTTCCAGCTAAGACATCATGAGTTTTTTCACGTGGGAAGATAAGCTGAACACCATCTTTTATGATCATAACTGGCTTCCTTCCAGAATCTTTCTTAAGTAAATATTCTTCCATAGCTAATGAGTTTTCCTCATTCATTAAATCAACGGGGATGTCATTTGATGACTTGATATCTTCCTTCTCAGCAATTGGAACTGCCATTAAGCCACTATTGCGTACAAGTTTCCTTACTTTCCTACTTTTTGCAGCTTTTTCTGGAGATTTTGTTAATATTTCTAAAGCTTCCTGATATTCAGGATCAACATCAGCTAGTTGCTTCATGACACACATTCTTTGAATCACTTCCTTTGCTGCGTCATCAAGCTTGATTTTTGAAACATCACCAGATGCAATAGCTTTTTCCAAAGCCTTCATAATTGTTGTAGCTTCTTTAGACATTCCGAGTGCCTTTGCAAGAGTTACAGATTCATTTAGAAGGTTCTTAAGCTGTACAACATCTTTTGTTTGAATAAGATCATCAAGTTTGTGATTACTTTCCTGCTTTACAGCCTCAACTATAGCATTTTGAATTAAATCTTCCATAGATACATTTTCTTTTGATTGTTCCTTGTTATTTGTAATCGAATCAATTACTTTCATCAAAAGTTTTGGATTATTTTTAGTCATAGCACTAAAGGCTTTGGCAACATCAGGATTTTCGATATTATTGCAAAACTGCTCAGCCATAAACTCATTGTTGTCTTCTGAAGCTTCATCACCGCCATTCACAAAATCTACATTATTTCCATTAAATAATCCAAGTGCTGCATTCATGAGATTTTGCTTCATTTCCTCTAGTCTACAAAGTGTCTCGACTTTGTGAATTGTTGTGCTTAATTTTTCTAAAACAAGCTCACGTGTATTTGCTGACGAGAATGTATTTTGAAGCTGATCTACGTTGAGTATTTTTAACGAGTCATTAAGTACGTTTGAGATAATTTCGTAGACAGACTCGACCTTATTTTTGTGATGATTTCCATTGACATGCCCATTTGTGTTCTGATGACTTATTAGTGATCCTTTTAGACCCATGGCACTAACCTCATCATTCTTGAGAATTTCCATCATTACTGTCGTTAATACTTTTACAATCTGATCCGTTTCAGACAACATAGCGTGGTCTTTTGACATCGTCACGCCTTTACGTTTGACAATTTTCTTTTTCTTTGCCTTATCGCCTTTTCCATTCACCATGCCAACATCATCTGTTTCTAATTCCTCGTATTCTTCTCCTGAGTTCATCGACATACACATGTCCAAGATTTTCTGATTCACATTTTGAAGATTAATATTCTCTCTGTGATCATCTGTTAGCTGCTTAATCATTTTGAAAATTTGTTCAGCAACATCAACGCTGATTCCATCATGTTTATCACAAAATTTTTCAACAACTTCTCTATTCAATGTGCTTTGTAGGACGATGTCAACTCCACCTGATTCAACTTGTCGTCCAATTGACATGCCAGCTGCTGAAAGCTGTTTCATCATAATACTATCAATGGCAAGTTCACCGGGATTAGCGAGTGAGCAGGCCCAATTATGTTGTGGTTTAATAAGTTCAAGTTCTTCTGGTGTTACCGAGAAACCTTGCAAATTGAATTCATAATCTTCTCCCATTCCTTTCATGTCGGGTGCAATAAAGCGAACTCCCTCTGGTGTATCGACAATTTGTCCCGCAATAAATGTGACTTTATCTATATTTTTTTTTGCATATTTTAAAATATTGTTTACAGCAAAATTGTCAAAATAAATTACCATCAGTTTCAACAATTCTTCCGGGAACGAAACATCCATCAACAATTTGACCTAAACAGATTGTTTGAGAAAAATTCCAATTTTAATTTATTTCATTTCTTTTGAGCAGCAAAAAAAACTTATTTCTTGTATAAAGCAAATGAAAAAATTGTAAAAGTCAACAAAATAGGAAGCGTGTGAGAAGTGAAAACAAAAAAAAAGCGTAAATGAAAAATCATAATCGCAAAGTAGAAATAAAAATAGATCTAGAAGTATTATTTTGTTTAGCAGAGTTGGAAAAATTTGTGATTTTTATAGATTAAAGTTATATTTTATTCAAAGGTCGGTTACTTGAGTGAACCTGATTGATATTTATTATGCTATTGATTTTCTATAGTTTTGGTCCACAAACTCATAAAGTTCTGATGTCAACAATTCATGTTCGACAGACTCTTCGAAAATCGAGGGATGTTATAATATGCATGTTCGAAAAATTCGAAATTAAGAAAGTCCTTACAATTTTTAATAATTTTCTTTGAGCTTTTTCGAATTTTGCATGACAGACAGGCAAAAAAGATACTTTTACAAGTTTTCTAGGAAACTGTATCGGTCACAATTTAAGAATTGTTTCACACCAAGGGTGTGATACTGATGAAATGATCAAAAATGATCAAAAAATTATCAAAAATGATCAAAAAAATTATCAAAAATGATCAAAATGTAATTCTTCAGTTCAACACCCTTGTTTCACACTTCAGATTGAAATTAGGTTTGAAAAAGACTTCAAATTATTTAAGAAGAAATAAAGAAAAGGCTAGTAATGGCAATAATTAAAGAAAAATTTTGATATTATCACGAAATGAAAGGTACGCGACAAAACGTATCAAAACATTATCTTCTTATTCGATCTTGACATGAAGTGTTAGGGGGATTTTCTTCACAATTTATTTTATCTTTTGAGTAGATTTAAATTTTTTTTTCCTCTATTAATTATTTCTCCCCATGAAGGCATGTGCGAGACTTCTTGATGAAATTAAAGAAAAGATGATGATTTTTAATATTATGTGAGTGGGTAAAGAAGATAAACAAAAGAGGCGCAAAAATAAAATAATAATAAAAAAAGCAAAGAAAAAACTTAATTCAGAATCGATTTGCCTTACCAGGCACGAATCGTTCGCCTTCTTCTTCTGTGTAACAAATTTGACTGTAAATAAAAAATATTTTAATTGTTGTTTATTTTGGAAGCAATTAAGGAAGTGAGTGATTTATTTTTTTGAAAATATTTCGCTTACCCAGGAATGAATGTCGGACCAACACGCTAATATGTTTGCATGATAAATATTGAGGGAAAATTATAAATGAAAATCTTTTGCATCTGGCTAATAAATATGTCAATAAACTCACAGTATCAATAATTTGTCCAGGAATAAATCTTCCACTTTTATCTGTTACACCTGGGACGAATTTTTGTTCGCCATTTTTAAGAGTAATCACCTAAATTAATTGGAGATTATTTTTTATAGCACATAATTACGCGAGAAATATTTTCTTTTGCATACCTGACCAGGCACAAATTTAAGACCTAGGATAATTTAATAATATTTTAGTATTTTCTTTTCATCTCACGAATATGCTTAATTCTTCATTACCTGCAGCGCTTTCAACTAATTGACCAGGAACAAACTCTTCTCCATTTGGTGTATTTACAATCTGTCCAGGAATAAATCCACCATCCTCACTGATAATTCCTGGAACGAATTTCGATTCTTTTCCTTGACGAATTAATCTTCCGGGAATCATTTTTCCTTGGGGCAAGCTTTCTTCACCAATTTTTTCAGGATAGAACTCAATTCCACATTCTGTTTGAACCATATTTCCAAAAACTGTCATACTTGATTCAGTCACTTCCAATGAATGTGAATCAATTACAACACCCGATGGTGGTGGTTGATGGAAATCAATCTTATCGATACTGCTTGCAATAATGAATTCAGCTTGTCCATTGGGCTTAATTTCAGTTTTTCCTGGCATGAAAATTTGACCATGCTCTTCCGATTCAACCATTTGACCTTCCACGAATTGAATGCCTTGCTTTGTTTCAATTGATATACCAGGAATGAACTTCATATCTTTGCCTACTTTCTTGACAATGCCAGGAACAAAAACTCCTTCATCATTATATTGACCAGCAACGAATTTACTTCCTTCTTTTGTTTGAATTGTTTTACCGGGACAGAACGTCTCTACTCCAGTCTCATCGATAACAGTCTGTCCACAAACAAATTTCCATTCATTTTCACTAACTTGAATGTTTTGTCCGGGCATGAAAATTTCAGTCATTTGACCAGCAACAAACTTCTCTTCACCATTTGGAAGCTTCATCATTTTTCCGGGTACGAGATTATTATTTTGATCAAACATACCGGCAACAAAACGGAAGCCTTCAGGCGTTACAATTGTTTGTCCTTCTACAAACTTAGGCTCATCATTCAAGAAAACTGTCTGTCCACAAATAAATTCATCATTAACGATTTGTCCAGCCTGGAAGTGCATTTGATTATCTTTTGATTGCATGACTTGTCCAGCAATAAAGTTGATACCCTTGGCAGTTCCAATCATTGGATCAAATGTCGTCAAACCAGGAACAAAGACTCTCTTTCCCTTCTCATTAATCACGGACTGTCCAGGACAAAAAACTTCTGTGCCTTCCTCGTTGGTAATAAATTCACCAGGCAAAAAGACACGTCGATCTTCGATGTCGATGACTTTGCCAGGAATACCATTCAATTCTGATTTATGTCCCTTTGTGATATTTTGTAAAACATCAAATAGCTCGTCTTCGGACGGCAATAAACTACTGATTTCATAATCAGCTTTCTGAAATTTCTCAACGACATTTTCTAATTTTTTCATCATCTCGGTCGTTGCCGTTTGATATTGATTAAGATTTTGAACGAATGCCTTTAATTCTGGTTTTTTATAGCATCCAACGAGTGGAATACACTCAAAACCGACTGTGTTGTCAAGATGCAGTTTCTTCTCGAAATTCTTTACTCTCGAGGTTACATTAATTTTTGCTGGTGACACAACGGCTGGCTTGATTTTCTTTGTCAACACAGATTTCACTTTCTTGACATTTTTTGCCTCCCATTCATAAGTATCCCAATCCCAACTTTCAAGCATTGGCTTGACAAGATCTTGAAATGGCTTTGAGGCATCTTCAGCAATTTTTTCTAATAATTTCTTAACTTTCGAGACCTCCTTCTTATTGACATTTTTTGGGACATTTTTCATCGCCTTTGCCTTTTTCTTCATTGACTTTTTAACGACCTCATCTTCCTCGTCATCGTCACCTGCATTTTCTTTGTCCTCAAAAATTTTCGCCATATTACTCAACTGCTTTCGACTATGCTTTGTAATTTTCTTTGACTTTTTCTCTTCCTCTATTTCACGTTCCCGTTCTAAAATGACTTCTTCTTTTGGTCCCTCGCCCTCAAATAAATCTTCGATGCTATCAGTATACAAAGCGAGATCCAATGACACATTTATGCCTTCCTTAAGTCGCAAGAGAATTGAATCGGTATCCTTTGCAAACATTATATCACAAATATCACCATCACGAATAGCTTCTTCTAATTTTGCTGGAAATACCAAATTGCACTGCTTGTCATCAACACGATACACAAAATGATGCTTCTCGTCCACAAGATCTTTGGTATTGAAGATATCATGCAATTTCTTTTGTGTTTCACAGTCAATATCCAAAACTGGAACTACATAACGATAATCCAATAGTACAATATGCTTCCTCTTTCCATAATGAAGATCCGGCTGAAAATGATGTCTTTCCAAGTACGGTGCCATATTTGTAATGCGACATTTCATTTTCTTCCTAAGTGCAAATGACATAAGGACAACAGGGATGAAGTGATGAGATGGCAAGCCATAGCTTTTTCCAGTAATGCGACAGAATCGCTTTGCATCATCGGGAGAGATGGGCGGTATAATTGGAAAATAATTTGATTTTGGTAACGAACGGGATCTTCCCGTAATACGACAAAATGACATATTGATGCCTTCCTGTACACTTCAAACTTCTTAAATTTTTATTTTTTTTCCTCCTTCGCAGTAATTTGATACTTTTGAAATTCACAAAAGGTGATGAAAATTTCGTTCCTTTTGATATTTTTCTTGCTGACGCTCACACAATTGTCTTGCTTTCTTGTTAAGCGCGAAAAATAATTTATTGTGCTGGCTTTTGATTGTTGAAGATATTTTTTTTTTTGGATTTTTGTGGCTTTTGAAGAATTTTGTTGCAAATTTTTTTAAAATTTCTTTGAAGATTTATTTTGTTGAGGTTTTGAAGATTTTGCCAAGATTTATTCTTGTTTGATGACTTGATTTGTGATTTTATTTTATTTTATGGACTTTTAGAATTTTTTTTGTGAGTTTTTATTTTTTTTTTCAATAAAAGTCTTTTTTAACTCACAATTTTTTTTTTTATAAAAAATCTTAAAATTGATTTTTTTTAAAATTTTAAATTATTCGTAATTTATTTTTTTTCCAGTAGAATTTTCACTTTTATATAAGCACTTTTAGTCTTTAGAATTATTTAATTGACAAAGCTTGACTGTCCTCTTCAACTTCCTTTTGTAAAATGTCAAGTTTCAAAATTTTTCTAAGTCTTAATCCTCTTATTATTACTTTCCTTCCTATTATTCAAATTATTAAATATCTTTAATTCTTCCTTTTAGTCTTCCGTATAGTTCGACGGCTACTTTAAATATGAGCACTGCGAGCATTTGAGCTTGGTTTTATGTTTCCAGTTTGTGTCGTGAGAAAGATTTGAGTTAAAAATAAAGATCATCATTTACTCAATTAACGAAGTAAAAGTCTCACACGTGCATTGAACCACTTTTCTTTCAATTTTCCTCGCTTTTTTTTATTTTCTCACTGAAACGTGAGATGATCAGCGATGAGACTCATTTGCTATCCTTTTCTTTCGTGGAAATCTCGTGAGATGAAAATTTTCTGTACTAAAAACAAATTGTATAAAGTTTCACTTGACGAGAATTAAAAACAATTGTGTGCTAAAAGAAAATTCATTGATCTTTCCTCTCACATTATTCACTCATTCTTCTTTCCGCTTGTTTTTCAACTTTTTAATATTACACATAAATTATAAAAAAAAAGTTATTATGATAGAAAATAATCTTTTTTTGCCGACTTCTCGTTTGCCTATTTTCGAGTAAATAATTAAAATTTCTAAAAATATCAATTCTATATCTACACTTGCGAGAATTGTGCTGGTCGTTGAATGTAAATTGCTCGTGAATTTTTTTTTTTTTTTTATATCACAAACTTTATTATTATTCTTAATATTTTGCACTTATGAGCAATTAAAATCTGCACAAATCTTATAAATCATTCATATTTCATTAAAATTTCACTTGTGGATTTCAATCTCCATGTCGGCTGTTGATTGAGTTATTTCTTCTCACTTCAAGGTAGAAAAACACAAAATATTTTCATAATAATTAATGCACTTTTTATTGGCTGATCATTAAGATCTTATTTTGAAGTTTAAAGTGATACTTTGAGTAATTTCTAGAAGTTTTAAGTCGTTGATTGAGTTTAATCACTAGAACCGGAAAATTGCTGCTGTATCTTAAGGGTTATGACGCATTACCAAGAGCGTAGGCAGAGAAGAAGTGTTTCAAGAAGATCTTGATCCTAAGTATAAGTTCAGAGCTCATGTGGTTTAAGTATCAATCTAACTCCTCTGTTTTGGTAGGGAAATGCTCATCAATGCAACTTGATCGTAAATAATCTAAAGATAGAGCAGCAAAATACCGAAGATGATCATCTAGACTTAATTATCAACACCAACTTCAAAGATCAATGAATTCCTCTATTTATCCATACAAATTCACATGCCTTTATCAGCCTTTTGTTTAAAAATGTGGCTTAAAATCAAACATTATCACTCACTTAAGTCACGACGAATAAATCAAGTTGTTAAACCTTATTATTTTCACTTATAAATCAGGAAATTTCTCATCACAAAACTCATATTTCAGTATTTTAAGATTAAATTTCAATTAGCTGAATAAGCAGCTCAAATAGTCGTAAAATTCAAAAAATAACATGAAATTTCAATTAAAAATCACAGAAAGAATCTCGCTAATTTTATCCATCGCACATTAATCTTCCAACTTTATCCTATTGCAATATGTCTTATGTTGTATATTTTTCTATAACATGCACGAGATGAGACTTAATGTGCTTGAAACTTATTCACAATTTGACTTGAATAATCTTCTTTTCAACTTAATTAATTTATTTAAACTTTTTGTCACAAAATAAAAATCGCGCAAATTATGCAATAAACTTTAGACGGATTTTGACCTTTTCTTGCGAATTTACCGACAAAAATTCTCATGCATTTCATCCGAACGCGTATGAAGCTTCATTTAGTGTCTTTTATCGAATTTTGACTTTAAATACTGACAAAATTGATTTTTTTGAGTAGTTCTCATTTAGAGCAGAACACAGAACCAGATACACGAGTTATGATACTTATTTATGAAGCATACATGAGGAACAACGACCAAAGACTGAATATGCTCGCATAATTTCAATTTTTTTTTCTTACATTCAAAATCAGTGTAATTTTTTTTTCTTCTATTTTCCCTCATGCGAGTGCTGTTTTTCCTTTCATTTGAGAAATTCTTGCGTACATACAGTCATAAGTATTCAATTCATAAGCAGAAGAAGATTCTTAGAGCAAAAGAGTATGGATATGTGAATGTATGTTTGGTTCCCTGGTGCTAAATTGTTCACAAATTTGTGTAAAAAGTCTGGCAGTGATCATTCTCAATATTCAAGTTTGTGTTATAATTTCAACTTGCTCCTGAACTATTTACGGCACATAATACTCGCCAGGGATCTGTACCTCAAAATAATTTCTTCTCATTTGCAATGTTCAATATAATTGAGTCAACAACGCAGTCATTTATCATTATTTTCTTATGTGTGTCTACTTCTCTTGTGCCTTTATGTATATACATTTCATTCTATCTCCTGATGATGAACGCTTTGGCTATAAATATTTTGGCTATTTTTTTTCTCTCACATAAATACACACAATGCACAGTCAGCACAGACGGACAGGTGAGTTATAGATTGAGGTGAATGAGAATCTGTGTTGGTTGAATTCATTTTTATTTTGTGGGAAATAGAAAGGAAAAAAAAATATTTTTGTTTGATACAAAAATAGAATCGGCTGTTAGCATCACAAGGTGTGATTCATCGTGAGGAAATTTTTTTCCCGCAAATAAAAGCGTCAGCAAGTCAATAAACGCAAATATGTTGCATTTATGGATTTTAGTTTATTTTTGGAATGAATAAAAGAATGTCAATAATCTTTCATTGATGTCTTTTGAGAATTTGTTTGAATTTTTCAGGAATCGTCGAAAGTTTGTTTGTCTGCATCTATTTTGTAAGACTATAATTAATACGAAGTTTTTAATAAGCTGATTTTCTTCCAAAAATAGGTTGTAAAAAATATTATTAATCATTTTCATTCACATTTTGTAGCTCTGAACTCGTAAATATCATTCCGTACATATTCATCATGTGAATAAGTAAAACAGAATTTGTATGGGATGGCGATGGATGAAACCCAAATGGCACAAGTCGGTTAATCGATCAGAAATCCGGCACCAAGCTAGTGTGAATCTATTTAAATCTGGGTTCGTAGCTAATTATTGAATATTCAGGGAATCAAATTTACTTTTTTTGGCCTTTTTAATGTTTGGAAATGGCATTTGGTGTTATTAACAGTAGCAGTGGCATCGCTGGGATGAAAAATCATGTGCTTCCAACATAACTGACTACCCAGAAAATGAGAGTATTGATCTATATGTAGCCTTATCTGCCAGTGCAAGGATAAAGCTTCTGTAATCGATTAATTACACTAAAGTCCAAAATCTATGATTCTTTCGTTTTTAAGAACGTGTGTTTGATTCTAATCAGTCTAAAATCTCTCAATCATTACAAATAGAGCGACAACACTCAAACAATGCCTACAATATTACAGGAACTCATAAAAATTCACCATCAGTCAAAATAATCCCAACTAGCAAATTTTAAATCCCCAAAATCCCCTCATCTTTTAAACAATCTAATAAATTAATTAAAAAGTAATAAATATACGCTATAATTACTCATTAGGGAAAGATAAATGAACTTCCATTCTTAATGAAAATTTCCCACGACGAATTTTTGTCGTGTTGATTGTTTTGTTTATAAATCATCCTGATCAACCTACATAAAAGTGAAATAATGATACACAAAAGTTCTTTTTTTATTTTTAGACGATCAAAAGGCAGTTTTTCAAAAAAAAATGCACCTCCGACTTTTAACATTCTTTTTAATTAAATTATTTCTTATTTTTCTTTGTTGTGATCACCTCAATTCTGCGGTGATGTTTATTCTATAAAATTATATTCATACGGTGGGAAAGTACACAGCGATCATCGTCAGAGGCATCGCATGTCCTTCCCAATTAAAATTGTTTTGATGTCTTATTACTGATTTACGGCTTATGAATTTTGACGTGTAAAATTTTCGCGGTCATTCTCAGTGCTTCCTCAAAAGTGGATTAAGCATTAATGCACGTGTAATTTTGTGTCAAGTGATTCCTCTAATTAATTTTAAATGGCTGTTTTGATGATAATTTGGAGATTAAAGGTGGGAACTAATGGATTTGCAGATGTGATTTATCTGTTGGAACTTCCAGTTTATGTGAATTGATGTCATTTAGAAGCAATAAATCAATTTATTGAGGAACTTACAAAATTTATTATTGAGTTTCGAAAAGGATGTGCCTTCGAGTGGAATAGCTAATGTTGACATTTGTGTGATTGCTAATCGTTAAAATTGTCCCAGAACTTGAAGTTGATTCTGATTTTGTCAAATTGTGCATGTAAATGTCGAGTAAAGCCGACTTCAAGCTATGCTATTGTGAAAATTATCGCTAATTTCCAAAACTATCAGTTTTAAAGCAGTCAATCAAGTTTTGAATACAATTGACAGACTACTGACTTCCCTTAACCAAAAATATTCCTCAATTTTAACGTCTAATCCAATTTTAAAACCACAACGAAAACAGCCTTAATTCTGTGCCAACTTAATTGCAAAAACATGCTCAAAAATCCTCTAAAAGCCATTTTTAATTAATAATTCATGTTCGTGTCAAAAACCTCATCATCATGACTCATGAGTCATGGGAAATTTAATTTGTTTATGTCACAACAAATGTTTATAGCTCCCAACGGACATTTAACAATCAATTTTCATTAAATCGCACCAACATTCAACTGATCATGTTCAATTTTCATTAATGTTACGCATTTAAACAACGACTATTGGATGTTTGCCTACGACTTGTGTCTTTCTCATGTGTTGTAGAAAATAGAAAGGAGAGAAACATGATCCACGATTAGTCTTTCTTCTTATTCCGTAGCAAAATGCATAGCATATAAATTTCTAAAGAAAAACTCCTATTAGGTAATTTATATTCATCTATAGCGCTAATTTTTATTTATAGCATCCCAAATACGGAGAAGATTAATATTCCATTTAAAAGAAAGGCACTTGAGCGAGATAGAGGAAGAAACTCAAATCGTGTGATGAAAGATATGTTTATTTATAAAAGCTATAATTGTAAAATGATTATTGGATATTAATTGAGATTTACCGGCTTTAAGACTCTCGAGAGTCAAAATCTGTACTAAAAGAAATCTCATTTTTAAGCATTCAAAAAAACAGAAAGAAAAGCTTTGAGTCAAACACACTTCAAGCTTTCCTTACAGATGGCACAATTTTCTTCTTCATGTTCTATACATTTTTTTTAAAAAAAGCCGACAACTGTCTTCATTCTGTCATCGAGATCATTGTGATGCATTGATCTAAATAAGTCTCACAGCTGAATGGAAATATTTATCACATCGTATCTTAAATGAGTGTAGACAATTTAAATATGTTTGACATTTTCTCGTGATCACGTCGAAAGTTTTTTCACACTTTTCATTTTAAATTCTTTTCTTGTTGATGCAAATTAGGGCAATAAAGAATGTAAGTCACTCACCTGTTTGATGTTT